GTTCAGTCGGTGCGCCGTGGTCCCGGGTGCTGCCGTGCAGGTTGGGATGGAGCCGTCTGGGCAGCGGTGGCTGAGGCCGTGGCATGCCAGTCTGCCCGGATTGTAAGCGTCTAAGGCTGTGTAACCCAGAAGGTACCATCAGTATGCATAGAACTTAGCGTGGTGTGTTTTCCATACTGACACAACTGCCTGATTTACTGGTGCTGGTGGAACAGTCCTCTCCTGTGGCCATGACATCTGGCTACGGTCCTGTGGTGGGATTTGTCAGGGTGACTCTGAAACCTGTTTCACAGACTTGTGGTGGTTTTGGAATGTCCTTTTTACTACTGAAGACTCCCATGAATGTTTAGAGGGCTGAACACTTGCAGTCTTCAGCAGCATGCTGAAGTCTGAGCTCCAGATCATGAGTGTCGATACCTGCGGACCTCAAGTCCTGCTGGTACATGATTCATTCCTGTTTGAGAAACAGATTTGCTTGCTGAGGGTTGGACGTAAACTTCAAGCAGATGCGGTCAGGGCACTTGCTGGAACAAGGTGACCTTTTTGTTTCATAGCAGTGCCTGTGGTTTCTCTGAAGGGCAAGGATAGCAAGATGAGATTAATACTGGGAAACAGCTCTGTGCGCTCCTGTTTTCTGGTGCTCGTGGAGGTTTGGCTGTTTTAACACTAAGCTACCGAGCTGTTCCCAGGTGCTGCAACGTTCTTAAATTAATTGAGACTGCTGCCTTAAAGAGGAAATGTGGGAGGAGGCTGGTGACTTGGCTGCAGGGCTCAGGGAAAAGAGCAGGTTTCCCAGGTGGACAAGTCTGTGTCCTGTTCTCCTCTTGCAGGACCTGGCTGCTGTGGGGTCACAGGAGTCCTCAGCGGTGAGGGAGGTGTCGCTGCCCTCCCAGCTCAACAGGGGAGTTTCCTGAAGGTGACTTGGACTCGCTGCAGTTCACTGTGTGCTGTCACCATGTCAGATCCTGTCAGACTTTCCGCTAGGGCTGCTCTAAATATCACGTAAATGGAGACCTTCAGATAAGGAGTTGGAGGAAAAGAGCAGCCTGAGGAAGCAGAGACGGGGAAGCATTGCTCTCATCTCGTCTAGAGTTTTGCTGAGTTTTTTGGGGGAGAAAAGCTGTGTGGTCCTTGAAACTTTCAACATGCAGATTTGAGCTGCCACCTCCCAGGTTGATAGTCTGGTGTGTTCTTTTGTATCAGAGGCCCGAAGCTCATTTTGGGTAGGGTAACGTCTCTTGTGGGAAAACCTCGCAAATCTAAAGGTGGCTTGGAGCACATAGCGAAGGAGTCAGCAGTAGTAATGTTCAAACTCCAGTGTGCCTGCCCTGGCCTCCAGGATTTGTAGTGTCTGGAAAATGTCTTCCCAGTGAAATGAAGCCATATGAATTTCCAAATGCTGTGCTGCTGAGTTCAGCTGGCAGAGCAGTGAGACCGAAGGGACTGTCATCTTTGAACTGTCTGCGGCTGATCTGAATGGCCCGGTGTGCTGGTTACTGGGAGAAACAGAGCTCAGTCTTCCCCAGCACAGGCTCTCACCGTGATCTGATCTGACTTTTCTCCTTAGGTTGTTCACTCTGGAGCTAGGACAGCATCGTGGTGAGATGCCGTGGGGGGCTGAAGGACAGGGAAAAATGTGCATCCTGTGGCGGGATGTCTGTGCATTGCTCTTGGGACATGTCTCTGTCTCATTTTCTCAGGTGGGATGCAGGATTACAACTACGTGTGGGCCAACTGCTTTGAGATCACGTTGGAGCTGTCCTGCTGCAAATATCCCCCGTCCTCTGAGCTGCAGCAGGAGTGGGAGAATAACCGGGAGTCTCTCCTTGCTTTCATTGAGAAGGTAGTGCGGGCTGGGACGGGGCACGGGGGCAGCAGCTGTGAAACCCGCGTGTCCGTGCTGGGCTGAGCGCACCATGTTCAGTTGCTCTTGTGGCTTTGTTTGCTGCGTGTGGTAACACAACTGCTGCAGTCGCTGTGCAGAGGTTGGTGGCTACAAAGCCTGCTGCATATCTCTGTGGTTCTGCCACAGTTCCCACATCCTCCACGATAGCAGAGCTCTGCTCAGAGGGGCGTCATGGGGTTCAGTGTTAAATAGAGGGACCAATCAGTGCAGTTCTCACTAAGCAAGGCAGAGTACCTGTATGGCCTCAGTGCCATGAACCTCCAGTGATGTTCAACGGCACCAACACTGCTGAGACCTTGGCTTGCAGCATCCTCTGCCGGGCTGTCTCCAGATGCCTGCGTATGAGTTGAGAAGGTGACAGTTTAGGCTGGGAAGGGAGGCAGCTGCATTTTGTCCCTTGGTATGGCCTGTAATCCTGCTATGTTCATATTGTGTGCCTGTGGCGATGAAATAGGGGATTTGTTAGGGACAATCAGTTCTGAGATCTTGCTGCCTTCCCAGTGCGTGCTAGAATTCCTGTGTGTCTGGCCAAGCACTGTCTAAATCGTGGGCCCTTTTGTGTCTTTGCCTATCAGCTCTCCTGCTCTGCTGCGTTTGGGTAAGGGCAGGGGGTTATTCCTGCGGGAGGGCACGGTTCCCCTGATGTTGCCTGTCTTCAGCCAGGCTCTCGCATTGTTTCCCTCAGGTCCACATTGGTGTGAAAGGCTTTGTCAGGGATGCAGTCACTGGAGCTGGCCTGGAGAACGCGACCATTGTTGTTGCTGGTATTGCTCATAACATCACAGCAGGCAAAAGTGGCGATTACCACCGACTGCTTGTGCCTGGGACCTACAACGTGACCGCAGTTGTAATGGGGTAATGTCTCTATGGCAGCCTGCATCCGTGCTGCCAACTGCTCATGTTCCTTCACTTGATTTCTTTCCCCAGAGCATCTTGTTGTGTATTTAAGGGGCTTGGCTGGAAGCTGCAGGAGTAAAGGACTCCAACCTAGAGTTGCAGCTGTGTTTGCTCACACCATGCCCCGCTGCAGCGGGGTGCTGTTGGGTGCGCAGCATTTTTGTCACCTTTGTTTGACTGCTTATATCAGCCTGCATCTTACTTTCTGGGCAAAGGGAGAAAGTGGAGTAGGGTCACCCCAGTAAGAGTTTGTGTTGTCTCAAGTCTGGGTGTACACACACAGCTTGCCCCTAGGCTAGCCCTGTGATATGCTTGTGGCTTCTTCCCCAGTGAGGCTGTAAGCAAGAATTCATGCCTCTGTGGCACAGCAAGGACAGCAGCGTAGTTTGGTCAAGCGTTGGTGGGATGAGTCCCATTAGCTTGTTTGCTGGTGAATCTCTCACATAGTCGTTAACTATGGGCTGGGAGGAGTAGGCTGAAGTGGTGGAGAGGCTGCAGGGGGTTTTGGCCTCTGTTCTGCAGAGCCTCCTTGCTGAAGCCAGCTGGGTTTTTTTACAGTTACACACCAGTGACCAGAGAGAACATCGAGGTGAAGGAGGGAGCTGCAACAGAAGTGGATTTCTCCTTGCAGCCAACTGTAATGCCACCGGCTCTTAACGTCACGCAGTTCACAGCAACGCCTGCTCCTGTCTCTACCATCGCCCCCACCCCTGTGCAGGCAGAGGCCCCAAGCCCAACTTCTCTCCATCAACCCATCCAACCTGTGGACTTCCGCCACCATCACTTTTCAGACATGGAGATCTTTCTGCGGCGGTACGCCAGCGAGTACCCCAGCATAACCCGACTCTACTCTGTGGGCAAGTCGGTGGAGCTGCGGGAGCTCTATGTAATGGAGATCTCAGACAACCCTGGCATCCATGAAGCAGGTAACGTGGGAAATCCTTTTTAGCGAGGCACAAATGCAAGCAACAGACCCTTTGCGCTGGGAGACCATGGGCAGAGCGAAAGGGAGTGTAGAGCTGGCACCTGTCTGAAGAGAGACTGAGCTGCTCCTTGCGGTATCCTTTTGTAAAAAGACCAGGTGCAGTGGGTGGCTCTAGCATGTTAGAGTGTTGCTGGAGACATCTACACTGGTCATGGAGCTCTGGGGACAGAGGGACCAAGGGGCTCCCCCAAAACAATGTTCGTCCTTTTTGGTGGTGTGGGAGCAGAAGGGTAAATTTTAGGTAAACGCCCTCCAGCCCTGCAGAAAGGCCTGAGAGCGCAATGCTCAGGGTGGTGAGGTGTTAGTGTAGTGGTTATAATTGTCTCTTTGGTGTGGCCATGTGTGTGCAGGTGAGCCAGAGTTCAAGTACATCGGCAACATGCATGGGAATGAAGTTGTGGGGCGAGAGCTTCTCCTGAACCTCATTGAGTACCTCTGCAAGAACTTTGGCACAGATCCTGAAGTGACTGACTTGGTCCGGAGCACACGGATCCACATCATGCCATCCATGAACCCTGATGGCTATGAGAAGTCCCAGGAAGGTAGTGCTGTCTGCGCTGCAACATCTGTGGGGTTTCTAGCTCTGAGAACAAGCCTTTGGGTTCGTGGTACCTCTCTGAGAAATCTGGAAGCTTTGCTGGAGCAGAAGTGCTCTCTGCACCGAGAGGCTGGGAAGGGACTTGGTGCGTGCTGTGGGATGAGTGGGTGGACCCTGCACTGCAGTTTTTGGGCTGTCAACTGATGCTTGAAGCTGTTGGAGGGAGCTCTTACACTTCAGCAGTGCCACATACTGCCCCTGTTTGGGTCCCTTTATGCTTTGTGCCTATCCCAGGGCTTATTTTTAAAAAAGACATTCTTTTGACATAGCTCATATTTGCTGTGCTTTGGTCCATGCTCGTAGTAACATGTGACATGGGAACCAGGCTGTCTGCAGAGCACTTGCCCAAGGATAATATAGACTTTTATCGTGATGTTGAAATTGGCAAAAACATCCTTCAGGGAAGTCCTTAAAACTGCGTGGCTCTTGCAGATTGGCAGAACAAAGTCTGTCCAGAACGATTTTCTGGAAGCAGAGCTCTGCTTGGTTTTAACAAAGAACTTGTCCAGCTGGTTTGAGGAGGTGAGCTCTGAGGTTTCTGCAGTCGTGACATCCGGCTGCTGGGATTGTTCATGGTTCGCTGCCTTTCTGCTAGCTGTGGTCTGGCTGGCACCGAGAGCCTGTGCAAAACACCTGCTGAAAGGGCCCTCAGACACTTTCATGCACAGAGCAGGCTTGTCGCTGAAGGAGAGTGTGGGTGTCCCCTCACTCTGGGGTGTAGGAAGCCAGCACTGTTGTGCTCTCTGCTGTCTTCTGTTAATTAATAGCTGTAAGCTCTGTAGTTAAGAGGATGAAGCCTCTGCAGTGAAGTGGGAACTTGCATAGGGCACAAGCTTGAACTTGTGTTTAATTTTCAGGAGACAGAGGAGGTACTGTTGGCAGAAACAACAGCAACAACTATGACCTGAACCGGAACTTCCCAGATCAGTTCTTCCATGTGGCGGACCCTCCACAGCCAGAAACTCTCGCTGTCATGACCTGGTTAAAGACTTACCCATTTGTGCTCTCAGCAAACCTGCACGGAGGTACGGCAGCCAAACCGAGCTCCCTCCTTTGCACTGAGGTTCAAGGGATGGGAGCTTGCGGGGCTATCTCCATGGTGTTGTAGACATGAACGGAGGAGCTCTTGCAGAGAGCTCTCTGCCCTCGGCATTGCTATGAAATGGCAGGAGCGAAGGCAGCCGGCTTCCTGCAGCAGGGGCAAGGTCATTTCCAAAGGGCCTACACAAACAAAGAGTAAACCAAACCTTTTGTTCATGCTGCTGGAAGATGGATCAGAAGCTGGAAATAGTGGGTGAAAACCGTGTCCCCAAGCACATTTGTAGGGAGTTGAAGAGGCTGCTGGGCTGATCACAACCACTTCTCTGAAGGGAGCACATGCGTTGGGGAGTAGCTAACTCGCTGCCTGCTGGGAGATGGGAATGGGCTCTTGTCAGCGGCTGCTCAGCAGCTGGGTCTGGGAATGTGATACAGTGCTGTGGCTGTTGGAGGCTTCGTAGTATTTATAAAATGAAGGGAATGAGATGTAGTCCTGAGGGTTCCCTGCCTTGAATTGCATGGCGGAACTATGAAATTTGCTGTAATTTAATTATCTTTTTGGAGTGATCTAAATTAAGTCTCTGTATTACAGCTTATTCCCTAGACAGTTTGTCTGCGGGCTTGTAGCTGTGGTAACTTGCAGGTGGCTGCTTTGTGCTAGCATGTTTAATTTTGTAGTGCAGAAGTACCGTGTGTGGGTACGAGGGAGCTGGCAGTTCTCCAGCAGCGGTGGTGTCTGGGGTTCCATGGTGCTATTAGTACAACTTGCTTAGGGAAAGCTTCAGTAAGCCAAAGATGTTATAATCTGACGGTGCTTGCAATAAACTCCAGAAGGCTGAAAAACTACAGCAGTTGGGCCCAGGGCACTATGCATGTTCTAGGAAATTCCCCCCTTTGCTTTCTGTCCTCTGCAAAAGGGATTATTACAAGGTTGTGTTCAGCCCTGCTGCATATAAGAACCAAACCTTTGATGTGTGGTGGCTTTGGTTCACCTTCCCAAATGGGTGTGGTCTTATTCCTGTGCTTTTGTGGGCTCTTCTAGCCACTGGGCTTAGCGCTTTGTTTAATGCCAAGTCTTGAGAAACAGAAGACTTGGCACTCTTTGGAGAAAAATAAAAACTTCCCCTATTAGGCTGAGGGATCACTTGGAAAGCGTGCAAGTACGAGTCAAAGCTTGTCTCCCCTGCAGGTTCTCTGGTGGTTAATTACCCCTTTGATGATGATGAACAAGGAGTAGCCGTATACAGTAAATCCCCAGACGATGCTGTGTTTCAGCAGCTGGCACTTTCCTACTCCAAGGTAAAGCTCTAACGGGAAAACAGGCACATCCTGCTGCGTTAACTCCTTGTGCTGTCGGGAGCCTCCTGAGCAGCTGGTAGAGGAGGGCGCAGGTACTGTGGGCGCCTGGGGTTGCAGGCACAGCAGAAGGGTCCTGCGGGAGGCTCGTGGTCCGTGAGTGGATGCCCGGCACGTTCTGTCTGCAGGCACTGTAGGAGGAGCGCTCTGTGCAGGCATGGGGGCCATATGCACAGAGGGATGGTAGAAAATGGTGAAAACATGGGCCGGGAGGAGAGCGAGAATGTCCATGGGCTGCGGTTGGGTGTGGGTGCAGTCGGTTTGTGCTGCAGCTGTACAAACACGTGCCTGCATGAACCTGTGTGTTTGGTAACCCCAAGTGTGTGACTAATGTTAGAGCAGAAGTGCCAGTGGCTGTAGAGTGCAAAGACTCGGCTTCACATGTTGCGTCTTGCTTTTTAGGAAAATGCAAAGATGTATCAGGGAATCCCCTGTAAGGATATGTACCCCACCGAGTACTTCCCGCATGGCATCACTAATGGGGCTCAGTGGTACAACGTTCCAGGTAAAGTAGACCTTAAATCTCTTGCATTGTTTGTGTCCACGTTAATGCATGTGCAGCTTAAAGAATTTAGTCTGATCAGTCACAAACTCTGCATTGGTCAGCCCAGACTACTGGGACTCGGGTTTCTTTTATAACCCAGATAAAGTTATACCTGAGGGAAGGAATTTATAGTGTAGTTCTTCCACCTATCAGCAAAGTAGTTTCATAAAATTTTACAGCAGTATATTAGCATGAGAGGTATTTACAAAGAGGGTGGTTATTTGCCTGCTATTTTGGCATCTCTTTGAAGCTTGAATCTTGTCCTGCATAAAAGCCTTCTCTCTTCAGCTATAAAATGCGTGCTGTAGTTTGTACTTCATCTTTCTCTGCTATCTGATGTATATTTATTTTTTTGAGCTGTAGTACAGTTGTCTTTAAGAGACCTTGTCAGAACGTTTTTTACGTTCCTGTTGTAGGTGGGATGCAAGACTGGAATTACTTACATACGAACTGCTTTGAAGTGACCATTGAGTTGGGCTGTGTGAAATATCCAAAAGCTGAGGAGCTGCCAAAGTACTGGGAGCAGAACCACCGATCTCTCCTCCAGTTCATGAAACAGGTGAGACACTTTGACCCCAAGCAATTGTGTGAGCTGCCTCTGGGGTTTGTGTTAGATGTGCCAGAATGAACAGGCTAATCTGCGGGCTGAAGCAAGTCCTGGCCAGACTGGGTACCTGCTCCACAGAAATAATCCCCATCAGAACATGTCTGGACTCCTCTCCCCTCCTTCTCAACATACCAAAAATCTGTATGGAAACAGCAGCCTTTTTCCCGATGTAGGTGTGGGCTTTTTATTTGCTACTACCTTGGTTTTCCCTAGGCCGGAGTGGCCTTTATGTGCCGTTCTCCTTGGAGTCGGGGCTGGTGGTAGTGCTGTGCACCTGGTGCATGCAAACAAAGGTGTGGAGCAAAGAGTGCTGTGGTGGCACCCTGAGCCAAACAATTGCTCACTGTACTCCTCAGGTGATCTTTGTCCATGCCAGCCGCTGGCAAGTCTAACCTGAACCCTTTTGGAACATGTTGCTCCTCTGGGAATGCTCCTGGGCTGGGAGTTGGTGGGATCTGGGTGTCAGTGACCCCACAGCGATGTGTGGGGTGGGAGGTAGAGCAAGGGCTGGCACTCAGCAGAGCTCCGGGTCTGTGCTCAGGTTCACCATGGCGTCTGGGGATTTGTGCTGGATGCTGTGGACGGAAGGGGCATTCTCAATGCCACCATCAGCGTTGCCAACATCAACCACCCGGTCACCACCTACAGGGATGGAGACTACTGGCGCCTCTTGGTCCAGGGGACGTACAAAATCACAGCATCTGCCCGAGGGTGAGTGAGGCATGGCACGAGGAGCTGCACTCCCGACTTCCCAGTCAGGAGTAGTCCCACCGCCTCTGCCTACAGCAGACATAGGCATGGGTGTTTCTTCTGCCTTCCGGCCTGTGCAGAGTTAGCAATGTGGTGCTACCCTGGTGTCAAAGACTGCTCGCTTGGCGCCGGTGTACAATCCAAATCTTCCCTTGTTTGGAGGTGGTATGGGGAAGGAGTTGATAACTTAGTGTCTTTAGGGGAAATTCTCTTTCAGACAGATGCCCGCAGAAATGAATTCATCATTTCAACAGCTGCCAAAACCTTTGGGTTTTAAAGCAGCCTGACTTGTTGTCCTGCCAGTCTGCCACGTAACCCTGCAACACCTGAGCCAAAAGCAGCTGAGTGCTGTGTTGGGCCCTGAGCTGCTCCCTGTCCTCCTGTCCCTTTGGCTGCCCCCTGTCCTCCTGTCCCTTTGAAGTTTTTTTTTTTTTTTTTTTTTTTTTTTTTTTTTTTTTTTTCTCTAAGATGCTTCTCACTTTTGACTGGGGAGCAGTAGCAGTCCCATGTGAGTGTCTAGTTAGGAAGGGAGGTGGCTCGTTGTGTGAGGCCTTGAGCCCCTGATGTTTCCTTGTGCCTTCTCTTCCCTGGGCAGGTATGATCCGGTCACTAAGACGGTGGAAGTTGGCAGCAAAGGTGGGGTGCAGGTCAACTTCACTCTTTCACGGACAGACGTCAAAGTGGAGGAGGGGAAGGTGCCGGTCCTGAACACCCCAGACACCAGCGACCCCAATGAGAAAGAATTTGAGACCCTGATCAAAGATCTGTCTGCTGAGAATGGTCTGGAGCGCCTCCTGCTCGCCTCCCCGAGGGATGTCTCTCCTTATCGATACCGCCCTTACAAGGACCTCTCGGAGTTCCTCCGAGGCCTCTATCTGAACTACCCGGAGATCACAAATCTCACCAGGTGAGAACTCAAAGCAGTGGTGCTCAGCTCAGCACAGCTCCACAGCAGCCTGTGGTAGGGAAGCAGTGAGATGACGAGCCATGAGCGCAGTGCAGAGACGGGGAGCTTGTCCCTCCCCTGCCCTGGTCCCTGAGTTCAAGGGAGTCCCGCATGTAAGGGCATGGTGGCGGAGCACTGGCTGCAGGGACTTGCAGATGCATCCGTGTACTTTTTCCTGAGACATCGTTTTACTGACTTAAACCTGGGGTGCTGTCAGTTCCCCAGGGGTGCCTGGGACTGGCAATGTTCCCAGCATTGATATCCCAAGTTTCTGCAAATACCTCTGTTCCATGCTCTCCGTTTCCTCCCTTTTCCAAATCCTTTCTGACATCCACCCTGCTAAAAATTCCCCAGCAAAAGCGATCAAATTTGACTTAAAAATCTCCAGTGGCCTTTTTTGATTGTCTGCCTTCAGATTTTAATTCAATAGCACGAGACGTCTGAGTTAGCTTGCCGTGAGCCAAGGTCTCTGCCCTCCTGCAGACCAGCTGTCTACAGTCCTCTGCTTTCCTTTGTGACCTGTAGCGCTTATCCTCTGTCAGCTTTAGAAAGCACAAATCTCTTTGTCCCAGGACCTCATTTGCTTGTTGTTACCAGGCACAACATGCTCATGTGCTGTCTCCGCTGGTGCCAAGGCTGCTTTTCAGATCTGTAGCCTCTATTGTCCATCCAGTTGCATCAGCCCCGATTGCGTTCCTTGCTTTGCTGTCATTCAGTTTGCTAACTTAATAGCATGACTGTGGCAACAACTTCTGCATTAGTGGAAATAGGCCTGCTTTTGTCCTCTAAACTGGGTGCTTTATAAATTACTTTGATGTCTAGATGTATCCCGCTCTGAAGGGGGGGGAGGGGGAAGGGCAAACCAACAACATTGGAGGCACAGAGGCATTTAGCAGTTCCACATTCATGGTGATGGTATAGGCTATATAGAGATACATGGAGCATTGGGCATCCCGTACATCTGGATCTGGATACATTCTTACACAGATGCTTGTGTTCAAACTGATGTTCATAGTGAATTTGATTCAGTGCTGCTGCAAATCTCCCATGATGTGGTTGTGTTTTGTATGTCACATGTCTCTGCAGCCTCCTCATGGAGGTAGGCAGCAGTTCCTTTCCACACCAGGATTTCTCCGTAGGGCCAGGCTAGGGGCGCGGCTCTCTTCCTGAGCTGATGCTCTGGTTTCTCATCTCTTGGCAGTTTGGGTCAGAGCGTCGAATTCCGTCAGATCTGGTCCCTCGAAATCTCCAACAAGCCCAACCAGTCCGAGCCTGAGGAGCCAAAGATCCGCTTTGTTGCTGGTATTCATGGAAACGCTCCTGTTGGTACAGAGCTGCTCCTGGCACTGGCAGAATTTCTTTGCATGAACTACAAGAAGAACGCTGGTGTTACAAAGGTGAGAAGCCAATGCGAGGGACCATCTTGGAGCCCTCCAGTTATATCCTGAGAAGACAGTGCTCGCTGGGAGAGACTTGTCTTGTTAACAGTGGCTTGTAGGTTGCAGTGATCCCACACGTAATGGGGAGGTGTGAAATCCACAGGGCCAGTGGGAACCTCTGACTGCTGATATCAATATAAGCAGCAGTTCCTAGGGTGAGATCCAGACAAATGAGATGCACAGAGAATGAACCCTACTGATTGCGCTTTATGTACTGTTTCTTCTCCTTTTGTTCAGCTGATTAACCGAACACGGATTGTGATTGTGCCTTCCCTGAATCCAGACGGACGTGAGATAGCGCAGGAGAGAGGCTGCACATCGAAGATAGGCCAGACTAACGCTCATGGCAGAGATCTGGACACAGACTTTGCAAGTAAAGCAAACTAGAGCAAAGTGATGTGTAGTGTCCCTGTAGAAATGCAGGCTGCTGTAGAAGTCTCCTGCTAGCTGCTCTAGGGTCGGTTTAGTTGTTTGGTTACACGGTCTACCTGTAAAGAGAGCAGCGCTCCTGCCCTGCAGCCCAGGCAGCACAGCTGCTGGGAAGCTTCCAAAGCTTGGATCCCCCTTACAGATGGTAATTTGCAGTCCCTTATTTGCAAGGAAAAGACAAAGCAGAGTTCTTTAGGAGTAGTCCAGAGGTTGGACAACGGCTAATGTATTTTTCCTGTTAATTGATTTCTTTCAAACCTCCATTTCTGAAAAAAAATGCCCCCTGTTCATGCTCCCTGCAAACAGTCTCCTTTTTTCATGCTTTTCTGGTTTCCATGTAACTGCTTGCTGTATCCACAGCACTGTATCAGTGCTATGCCCACCCTTCCTGGGGGCGAAGTGTTCTCTCTGGCCAGGTTTGGCTGGGAGCATTCCAAATGCTTTCTTAAGAAAATGTCAGTTCAGTGACATGGAGGAGGGCAACCACACAATGAAATACCCTCTGTGTCACAAAAGCAAATAGCTTGGGGAAATAGTGATGTGTCATGTTTGTTTAGCTTGGCAGATGAATTCCCCCCATGGGTAGCGTGGACTAGGTGCTTTACTTGATGTCAGGTGCATCTGCTCAGATCTAAGAAATACCTTTTAATACATGCAGCAGGCTTAATTTCAGACATAAACAAAGAATACTTCTGCTGGCCTCTCAATTAGCAGAGGAAACTGTTGTCAATTCCCTTTTCTATATGTTGTTCTGATTTACAGGCAATTACTCCCGGTACTTGGGGACACAAGAGCCTGAGACCAAAGCCATCATAGAGAGCTTGATATTGAAGCAGGATTTCAGCCTCTCTGTTGCGCTAGATGGAGGATCTCTGCTTGTCACTTACCCGTACGATAAGCCAGCGCAGACAGGTATGACTAACTCCTCCAGGACCTTGCACACATAGTTACCCTCGGGCTGTCTCTGCAGAAGTTCATGTGACCACATGGTGCAAGAGCTTCTTGCGCTGGTGGTGTTTTATAGTCTCCTTTTGTGTTCAGCCCTTCGTGTGTGGAGTTGACAGTCTAAGTAAAGCTATAAAACCTCACAGGATTCAGCTAAGGATCAGAACACTTAGCATTTCTGTTCCTACAACAGTATTTCAACTTTGTCTCTGCCAAAGCCAGTATAAAGTCTGCTTTTGATACCACCCCTCAATGACAGAGAAAATCTGGAATACCCCTGAAACAGTGTGTCACTAATACAGGATCATGGGGTTAGAATGGGAATCTGCCCCTCCAATGAACAGGAGTTGCACTCTCAAAGTCTCACTTTTCTCTTTGTAGTGGAGAACAAAGAAACACTAAAGCATTTGGCATCTCTGTATGCCAACAACCATCCGCTGATGCATTTGGGCCAGCCAGGCTGTCCAAATAAGTCAGGTATGTTTGGTTGAATCCTTTAAACCCTCCGTGAGCTTGTGCTAGACTCTGCTAGGAGCAGATCTGGCTGACAGCTGTGTTCTTGCTCTCACAGATGAGAATATTCCAGGCGGTGTGATCCGTGGCTCTGAATGGCACAGTCACTTGGGAAGTATGAAGGTACTTCATCACGGCATAAGGCTTTCCACCTCTGCTAAACCAGCATTAAAAAGCATATTTTTTCTGATGTCTGGGCCGAACTTCCCCACCTCCAGCTGCACTTTGCAAAGCTTTTTAAATACCACCTATTTTGTTGTAACTGTGGTTTTGGTTTCTGCAGGATTTCAGTGTTACTTTTGGTCAGTGTCCTGAGATCACTGTTTACACCAGCTGCTGTTACTTCCCGAGTGCAGGGCAGCTCCCCGGCCTGTGGGCAGACCACAGGAAATCTCTCCTTAGCATGCTCGTGGAGGTGAGCCGCAGTCTGTGGAAGGAAATTCTGGCAAGGAGTGAAGGTAGTGGGCTGAGTGGGGAGGAGGGGAGAGGAAGAGCGCAGTACGGAGAGTCTTTGTGTTTTTATTGGTGCTATGTAATTACAGACGGTCAAAATTTAGACTACATGAGGAATGGATTGAACAGAGGCAGTGAGTGACCAGGAAATGTGTTGACAAGCGAGTTAAACATCTGTGCTGTTCTGCCTCATGGTGGGCCGAGCAGTCCTTGCAGTGTTGTGCACTTTTATTTATTATGAGGGTCAGGGATAGAGAATGGGCTGTGTTTTGAGGGGAGGATTAGATCCTGTTTTAGTTACAAATATGCCATATGCTTGGATCTGAATGTGAAGTGTTTGAAATGCTTTATTTCAGGTTCATAAGGGCGTCCATGGGTTTGTCCAAGACAAGAGTGGCAAGGCAATTTCTAAAGCTACCATTGTTGTTAATGAAGGTTTGAAGGTCTATACTAAAGAAGGTGGCTATTTCCATGTGCTGTTGGCTCCAGGTTTGCATAACATTGATGCGATAGCTGACGGGTACCAGCAGAAACATGTCAAGGTATGTGAATGTCTGTCTTTGGAGATCTTCCCTGTCATATAAAGTCATAGAATCATAGAATCGTTTAGGTTGGAAAAGACCTTTAAGATCATTCAGTCCAACCATTAACCTAACATTACCAAGTCCACACTAAACCAATCAAGGGTAGACTAGACTAAACCATGTCCCAAAGTGCCACATCTGCCCGTTTTTTGAACGCTTCCAGGGATGGGGACTCCACCACCTCTCTGGGCAGCCTGTTCCAATGCTTGACTACCCTTTCTGTGAAGAAATTTTTCCTAATATCCAATCTAAACCTCCCCTGGCGCAGCTTGAGCCCATTTCCTCTTGTCCTATCGCTAACTACTTGGGAGAAGAGACGACACCCAGTCATCCCCTACTGGGGCTCTGCCTCATTGCCTGTGTTTAGCTGCTGGTTATATGCCCAGGGTAGCTGTTTTCTGCCTTGATACAATGGATGGAGAAGAATTTCCCGGCACAGCAGAGTTGTTTTGGGTAGTAGCTTTTCTTTCCATTGCACTTGTCTTTGGCATCTGCCTGGTCCTGCCCTGGTCATCAAGTACCTCTCTTGTCTGGACACCTAACAGAGGTGAAAGCTTTGAGACAGTCTGAGCTCTTCTATCTTTCTGCAGGTCTTTGTACGTCACGATGCACCCAGCTCTGTGTTCATTGTATTTGACACAGAAAACAGGATATTTGGTCTGCCAAGGGAGCTGGTTGTAACTGTTGCAGGTAAAGTGACACTTGATCAAAGCTTTGAGCTTTGCTTTCTGTGCTGGTTCATGCTGACAATGACCCTTCTCTTCACCGAACTGGAGAAGTAGCCTGCGGACTTAAGCTATCTCCTGCTTTCCCTTCTGAACACGTGCTTGTCCTTGCAAACTGGTCCAACAACCCTTGGATCTGGTGATGCTGGGCCAGCAGATGGGGAGGGAGGGTGGAAGGAGAGAGTGTTGCAGGGGTCTGAATGGTCCAGAATGGATTTTGAGAGATGCCTGGAATGGGGTTTGTGCATAGAACTGGGACCTAGGACATCTTGCTTCTTCCCCAAGGTTTCTTTTGAGTGGTGTGGCACCAGGTAAGCATTAAGAGATTTTTTTTGTCGAGGTGGCAGCTGCTGGGGAGGCTAGAGTTTATACCCAGTGGTCTGCAGAGGAGCTCAGTGATGCTACCCTAGATTGCGAGCGCAGAAAATAAAGCTAGTGCAGTGCTGCTCTGGAAGCAGCTCTCTTGCATGGCATGTTTTCTGTGGCTTGGGAGGAAGGAGCAGGGTCACAGTGAAGTGAGGAAAGTGAGTGTGACTGTACAAGGGGAGAGAGATGGTGGCGAGCCTATGAGTCTCTGGGGTGGGGGAACATGGCATTAACTTTGATGTCTTCTTTCTGGTAGGTGCAAGTATGTCTGCTCTGGTCCTCACCGCCTGTATCATCTGGTGTGTCTGCTCAATTAAGTCCAACAGACACAAGGATGGCTTCCACCGCCTCCGACAGCACCACGATGATTATGAGGACGAAATCCGCATGATGTCCACCGGCTCAAAGAAGTCCCTCCTGAGCCATGAATTCCAGGATGAAACAGACACTGAAGAAGAAACATTGTACTCCAGCAAACACTGACACCTCCCGGGCAGGAAAGGAGGTTCCCATGGACCAGACCTGGTGGCAGGGGGGGCGATCCCTGTGGTTCAGTTTTGAAACATTAACTTGCAGGATGTGTCCTTCAGCGTGGGTGGCAGCTCCCAACTTCCCTCTACTATTTGCCCTGTTCCTATGTACATGCAAATCAGTGGGTGTTGGAGGCTGTGTGTGGGCTAAGGACACGGCTTGTTTCATTTTTGGGTCAAGATCTGGATGTCCACGTGACATTGTTTGAAAGGCAACTTAACAGGGTGGCCAGCAGAGTTCCTAGCACTTGCCCAGCATCTCAGCACAGTGAGCAGATGGTGGGGAAGTGCCCCAAGACCTGCATGGGGTCGTAGTTACAACACTCCAAAGCAGTTTACCTGTTTTGATTTCATGTTTTCCACTCTGTACTTGAGGGAAGCCAGATCCTTCACTTGACTCCACATTCTGCGGAGCAGCCCTTGGAAAAAGACTGTACTTGGTTCTCAGCTGCTCCCTTGGAGCTTTTCCCCACCATGAGATGATGTGGCTTGCTATGATCTGCAGTGGTTGTGGAGCACCTCTAATGTGTTGCTAGTTCCGGGCAGTGACTTGGCATTCTGAAAGCTGGGGGAGATGACATCCATTCTCAGTGTGAGCTGGACAAAAGAGCAAATGTCAGAGCTTCGGTGAACTCCAACAAAGTTCAGTTGCTTGCCAGCTCTGCAGTGCTGCTGTTCCTGACTTCTGGGGAAGAAAGAAACTTTATCCCCATCACCCCCGGTTGCTTCTTGTTTGTGTAGTAGACTTGGCCTTTGGGGTCTCATGTTAGCGTTACAACAGCACAGTGTCCGAAAGAGCAACTGGAGGTTGTTCTAAGCAAATGGATAAACTGATTGTGGTGGATACTGTAGAAAAGCAATCAATTATTGACTCCACCTGATCAGTTTTGCTCAAGTCCACCACTATTCAGGAGGAAACCGTGAAATCTGACCACTGCTTTGTATTTGAGCATTATTGGAGCAGCAGGGAGAGGTCATGGGAGTATCCATGGCCCAACTTCAGTCTTAAATTTTGAAGAAAAGCTGCGCCATTTGCCATTGTCTGTCTAATACCGTTTAGTGATCAGAGCACTTTGGAAACACCCTCTCATCAAGCTCTGGTAATGGTAGGCATCAAATTAGCTGCTGGCTTGGCTCTGTTCTGCTACTACAGCATCCCTGAACTATGTAGCAAGAGCTCCACCTGCTTGTGTGTCTGCAGTTGTGTCCGCTGCTGCGGGGGCCTGGGTGCAAGGCGTGAGGAAGGGCTGAACGGCTGTGCTGAAAGAGAAGGGAAAAGCAGCCAAATTCTGTTTTGTAGCACTTGGCAGGAAGTTGGAAAGAGGAGCCGCAGCGTGCATCCCCAGGACACATTGGATTTGTGGGGAACAGAAGGAATGTCCAGAAGGGAAGAATGGCTGAAATGTTTGATTTTCAAAGCCTTTATGCATCTCTGATGTTCCCATGCTTTCTGAGCAGAAGGCTGGGGTTAGAATAGGCACTTACTTTTTTGCTGCTCATTTTCTTTTTTAATTCCTGCCCCACTGACCCAAGCTCCGGGGTGCAGGAGCCTGGCGCAGCAACATCTTAGGCACCTAGTTTGCCCTGGGCTGATCTGTTCTCCAGCAGCCTGGGGAGGTCCACTAGTGAAACCTGCACACGGTGTGTATGGGAGGTGTTTGCACCCAAATGTGGTTCTGGCCTGGTCTCCTCTGGGGGAACAGCGCAGCGGGTTCCCTGCTGAAAGCTGCTGGGCCACATCACCTTGGGAAGGAGCTGTTCCTCGCCTCTGTGTGTGGTAGATGCCCTTCTGGAACCACATGCCTGTGGCCGTGCTGCCGTGCTCATTGTCTCAGCAGCTGCGTGCTGCTTTTGTGCAGCTATCTGGAGGGACAAAGATAACCCTTAGAGACCAGTATACCTTCTTCCCTGCTCCACAGGGAATTATATGGCAAGAAGCACGTGATGAGATCTGGCTGGGGAGGGGTGCTGGGAGCAGGGAGGTGAGGCTGAGGATTCCCCATGCTCCTGTCTGCATCCGTGTGGTGTGAAAGAGCTGCTCTTGTTGCCTCTGTTCTGCGGGAGCCATGAACGTCCCTGTGCCTGCTCCCAGCTCATCGTGGTGAACAGGGGATGGGGTTTGGTCCTGGGCTGTGACCCTTTTCCATGTGTAATGGGCAGCAGCACGCAATAGCGTTAACCCTGCCTAATCTCTGAACTTTTCCTGCTTCTGAGGGCGTTAACAAGAGACACAGCTGGGGTTTTATATTAAAGTTGAGTTTGCAAATGGCTCTTAGGGCTCTGTTCGGGCTTTGCTTGCTCTGGCAGCAGGTAACGGACTGAGCTGGCCTTGCTTTGTCCCACTAGCAATAAGTCTCGTTAGGAATCGGCCCTTTCCCTCTGAGAGTGCATTCTGCAATTAGCTTGGAGTAGGTGCATATTTTTGAGGTGAGTGGTTTTGAGATGTTTTGCAAACGTGTGAGACTTTTCTACGCAGCAGGACCAGGTAGGGTGTCTGGCTCTCGCTCCGTGCTCGCAGCCGCAGCAAGTAAGCGCTGGAGCTGTTTGTCACCAGTTTTGGGAAGGCGGGAGCAGCCTCCCCTCGCCGTCAGTCTGTCTGTCCATCCGTCTGTCTGTCCGTCCATCCATCCGCGGGAGCACCTGTGCAACTTCTGGCGAGGAGCCGGTTCCCCTGCGGGTGCTCGTCCCTGGAGCGTGTCGGTCCGTGCACTGTGCCTTCAAATGTACATTTTTAAAAGGGACTTGAACGCCTTTTCCTGGAAGCAGGGCGGTGCGAGGCGAGGCCTGGCTCTGCCCTCAAGCCAGGCCCTCTGTTTTTTTTTTTACCTGTATACTGAGATCCAATAATCTGTATAAAACTATTTTGATGTCCACCTGGCTTGTCTCGTTCTTCCTACGACGGGCAGCGGGGGCTCGGGGCTGCAAGGAGGACGCCGGGGCCGGGGCCGACGTGTCCCGCCCGGTGCTCGGCGCTGCATGGGGAC